AAAAAAAAAAAAAAAAAAAGGCACTGAACAGAAGATACTTGAGGACCTTCAGATAATGATAATGACAACTAAAATTACTGAACCTCACTACAAAGCATTGTGTGAATTAGCTCCTTTAGCTTCTCAACAAGCCTATGAAGTAGGTACTATTATTAGTCATTCCATTTTATAGGTGAGGAAATGGGGAAGGTCAAATTGCTGTGCAAGGTCATGTGGCTGGTGAGTGGGAGAACCAGGATTCCAATCCCATAGCCCTTTCTTTCTTCCTTTCTTTCCTTCCCTCCTTCCTTTCTTCCTTCCTTCCTTTTCTTTTGTTCTTTTCCCTCCCTCCCTCCCTCTCTCCCTCCCTTCCTTTTTTTTTTTGTGTGTGTGTGAGACAGAGTCTTGCTCTCTTTCCAAGGCTGGAGGTCCACCTCCCAGGTTCAAGTGATTCTCTTACCTCAGCCTCCTGAGTAGCTGGGACATGTGCCACCATGCCCAGTTAATTTTTGTATTTTTAGTAGAGATGGGGTTTCACCATGTTGGCCAGGATGGTTTCAAACTCCTGGCCTCAAGTGATCCGCCCATCTCAGACTCCCAAAGTGCTGGGATTATAGGCATGAGTTACCCTGCCTGGCCCCACAGTCTGACTTTTAACCTCTCTCCTGTATTCCTTCTCATTTTTGAAATTACCTTTACCCCTTACATTTTCCAGATAATTGCTTAGTATAATACCTTACTAGATGTAGTTCCTTAAGGGTGACATCGTAACAGCTAAACCTGCAAGGAATTTAGAGAAAGCTTCTCTTTATCTCCAAAGAATGTCAAAAGGATCCAAAACTGAGGGAAAAGTGCTCTGGAATGGGAATATCAGGTCATGCTGGTGGGAGGAAGCAGCTGGGATGAATGAACCAATGCTAGCTCCTCCACCAGCCCTCTGTGACTCTAGGAAGTTTTGTCCTTGGCTGACATGTTTTTCATCTATATAATGAGATTGGGAACACCCCATGGAAAGGAAGTGTAGGGGTGTAAGACACAGCACTGGCTCAATCAGGTGTGGTGTGACCAGGAAATGTGACCTGGGACAACAATAATAATGACACATTGCCTCCTGACAAGTCATACTTATCAGACAAGTTATTTCGTCTCTTTAAGTCTCAATTTCCTCACCCGAAAGCAGGCAAAACATTTATTCATTTGACAAATATTTCTTGCACTCCCACTATTTTTCTGTAAAGGGTCAGGAATTTAATGATAAATGGATGTAGTCCAATTCTTAACAAGAATAGAATCTAGTGGAGAAGACAGACATTGGACAAGCAAGGACACAAATATATATATACACACACATACACACAAATTATGGTAAAGTGCTATGAGGAAGAATAATAGAGGGAGCTGTTGGTAATTTAGACCAACTAGGGTCAGTTTTGCTCTCGCAGGGAACATCTGACAATTTCTGGAGATATTTTGGTTGTCACTGGTCGGGGAGTGCTACTAGCAACCAGTGAGTAGAAGGTAGAGATGCTGCTTAACATTCTACTTGATATCCTTAGGTAGGACCTTAAGATCCCTAACATCCTGCTGATACACAGAATAGTCCCTTATAAGAAGGAGTTACAGGGCCAAAATGTCAGTAGTGCTGAGGTTGAGAAACCCCGGTGTAGATGAGGTCAGGGAAGTTCTCTCTGAGAGAGCCCCATTGGAGGTGAGTGAATCTTCCTCGCAGAGTTACTGGAAGCATTAGAGATAACGGATACAGAGCCCTGAGGACAGGGCCTGGTACCCTGGAGATCCCAGGAGAGGGCATGTGAGACCGTTGTATTTTTTTGTAGAGACAGGGTTTTGCCATGTTGCACTGGAGGGCTTTGGAGCAGGGCTCTGGAGTTAAGACTTCCTGGGTTTGGAATCCTGTCTCCCACTTCACTGAGTGACCTTGAGCAAGTCATTCGACATCTCTGAACCTTAGTTTTCTTGTCTGTCAACCCCTAAACTACCTCATAGGACTGCCATGAAGATTGTGTGAGATAATACAGGTTAAGATGCCTGTAGTAATGGATCACACATGCTTGTTATTCAACATATGGTAGCTACTATTATCATCAATAACCCCAAGGCCATTTCTAAGATCATCTTTAGGGTAAAAATTCAAATGGTGATGCTGCTGTGGAGACAAGAACAGGCCAGAAAATCAAGAGAAATTGCTCCAAGAGTCCTCTTCCTAGCTGTGCCACCCATGGCATGCCCTTCACCTTTTTGGACTTCAGTTTTCTTGTCTGTAAATGGGCATAACCCCTACTTCCAAAGAGTGATCATGAAGGAGAGATCTGCAGTGTGTGGAGGGATACAGGAGTAGCTGCCCCTGGCATGGAAGGCCCTGGACTCACCCCACTCTTGGGCTTGCTGCTCATGGAGAGCCCCAGGGCCGGCCCTCCTGCCAGGGACTGCTGCAAGCGCTCCTTCACAGCCACCAGCTTCAGCTCCAGGTCAATCCGGCGCTCCTCCTTTGACCGACACTGAGCTTCCAGGGTGGCCACGGCTTCTTCCAGAGCCTTTAATTTTGCTCCTGAATCAAGATACATTGATAAGAAACAGCTGAACCTGACCTGAAGTGTCGGGGAATCTGGCAGGGCCTGATGCCTTTGTCTGCCCCTCCTGGTGGGCCTTTCCAGTCCCCAGTCTTGGTTAAGAGATGGACTCTGGGCTTGGGGTTCCAGTTCCATACTGGGGTTCCAGCTCCATAATGAGATGAGGTCTCATTATGGTCTTTATATGTCTGGTACCCATTTCACCATCTCCTGGAAATAGCACTCTGAGTTTTCATTGGGAAACCACCTTCCCCCTCTCATTCTGTCTCTCTTCTTTTTCTTTTTTTTGAGATGGAGTCTCACTCTGTCACCCAGGCTGGAGTGCAGTGGGTGATCTCAGCTCACTGCAACCTCTGCCTCCTGGGGTCAAGCAATCCTCCTGCCTCAGCCTCCTGAGTAGCTGGGACTACAGGCACACCCCAGCATGCCCAGCTAATTTTTGTATATTTAGTAGAGATGGGGTTTTGCCATATTGGCCAGCCTAGTCTCAAATGGCTGACCTCAAGTAATCCACCAGCCTTGGCCTCCCAAAGTGCTGGGATTACAGGCATGAGCCACTGCACCTGCCCCCCTAACCCCATTCTCTCTAGTTTGAGTGGGGCTGACTCTGCTTCTAGTTCAAGGGTTTGGCACATAACTTAGGTCTGCCCCATAATCACAGCTCATCTTCTGGTGACAGTGATTGGATGAAGGATGAAAGTGGGACCAATCAGAGTGAATCCAGAGGGTTTTGTGGTGGTTGCTGGGAGGAGAAGCCCTCTCTGCTTGGGTTGGCTGGGAGGGCTGGGTGAGGGCTGGCACTGTGCAGCCATTGTGGCATCACAAGGGGAGAATGAAACCAAAGGAGAGAAGGGCAGAAGCATGAGTATGAGAAATAAGCTTCCTGGTGACATCATTTAAGTCCCTGGACCCCACTACACCAGATCACTCAATTTTCCAATTACATCTTCTTTTCATTTCTCTGCCAGTTTAGCTTTGGTTTCTGTTACTTGTAAACAAGTGTCATAGCAGGGCTTTACAGACACAGAAAAATAGAGATGAAGTCTCATTATGTTGCTCAGGCTGGTGTCGAACTCCTGCACTCAAACAGTCCTCCTGCCTCAGTTTCCCAAAGTGCTAGGATTACAGGCGTGAACCATGGCACCCAGCTCGCTTTTTCAATTTAATCTAACAAACCTATATTAGTACCTTTCCCATGCCAAGTGCTGTGTTGGGTCTTACCAGGTTTAAAAATCAGTTCCATTCTTTGCCCTGAGGGAGGCTGTGCTGGAGGGTTTTCCAGTAATGTTGAATTCTTTATATTCATCATTCACCATGTATTTAATGCGTGCTTACCATGTATCAGGCATTGTCCTCGGCCCTAGATGTATCAGTGAACAAAGCAGGCAAAGATCCTTGCCCTTATGGTGCTTACATTTGTGTGTCTGTGGCAAACAATAAATAATAAATATAATAAATAATCTGATATGTTACCAAGTGATAGTACCATAGGGGAAAAAATTGAGCAGGACAAGGATAGTCAACTTGCTCCAAATCCTGGTTCTGACTCTCAGAAAATTCTTTATATGGAAACCAAACTGTCTTCCTGTGCCTTCCTCCTGTTGATTCTGGTTCTTGGCCACACAGAACAAGTCTTCTCCTTTAAACCAGAAGTTCTTAATCTGAGGTTCATGGAGTCTTAGGCAATCTATGGATAGGCTCCAGAGGCAGCCACATGAGCTCCTGAACTTTTTTTTTGCAGCATTGTGAACTGTGGTGTTTCTTCTTAGAAAAGGGTCCATAGGTCCACCAGATTCTCACAGGGCTACATGTTTGTGGACATGTTCTATAGCAACAGGACTTCTGCTCCCTCCGGCACGTGGAGAAACCTTAGGCTTAAAGTGTGTTGAACTGCAGTTAGAATGCAAAGGAAACACAGCAGAAAATAGGGTGTGGAGAAGCCCAGAGCAGGCAGGGCCTGCTGAGGTCCCTCGTTTCAGAAGAGGATCCTGGGAAAGCATCATGTCCATTATTCCCTGCACTAGGACCAATGTCTCACATATATCTGTGAATGAATAAAGGTGGAGTTCAAAATGACATCTCTTATTTCTTTGATTCTAAGGCACACTTCTATGCTTCACATTTCTAAAATCAGATTGCTGCTTACTATATTAAACGTATACATTATTGTGATGCTTTTTCATCCCTCCAAAACAAGTTATTAAATTGATGACACTTTCTTTAATTGGGAGGAATGATGATGATAATGATGAAGAGGAGAAGAGGACGAGGAGGAGAAGGCGAAGGGGAGGAGAAGGCGAAGGGGAGGAGAAGCCCACTTTTCTTGGGTTGGAAACAAGGTGACTTGTGCAAGAGACCTCCCTTTACTGTGCCCAAGGATGAGCTGGCCACCCATAGGTGCTCAGGACCACAATCACATAGGTACCTGGGCTGCTCCGAATGGCTTCTTTCAGTTCCCTCTTCTCCTGTCTCAGTGCTATCAGCTCTGTCCGAATCGTCTCTTTCTCTTTCTCCAGCTTCTCTTTTTCTACCAAGTACCTCCGGGCATCCTCCTCTGCTCGGTTCTTGCCATACTTGTATTGATTGGCACCTGCAGAGATGTGGGGAAGGGAAAGGCCCTCAGTTCTGACCTCTGGCAAAGGTACTTGGGTGGTGTCAGCTTCTCTCTCAGCCCCAAGTTCTCCATCTATAAAATGGAAATATTTAGACCAAGTCCCTTAGATATATTTAGTGTGAATCCTCTAAGGAATTAAGAAGCAAAAGGGAGGCCATAGAGCACAGGGACTAGGAGCAAGGCCTTGGAACAGACAGCCTGAGATTTGGGCATTTTTGACCTTCCTGGTTGTGTGACATTAGGCAAAAGAGACTGGTAGTGTTTTACTGTGCCTTTCCCCCTTGACCATAGTTTCCTTATTTGTAAACAAGGATATGGATACAATTTACCTCATAGAGTTGTGGTAAGGGTTGAATGAGATGATTAATGAAAAGCACTTAGTGTAGTAGGCAAATAGTAAGGGTTAGGTAATAATGATAATATTATTAAAAACAAATTTGTGATGTAGAACATACTTTGGTTTTAAAAGAACAAGTTTTGTAGTCAGTTTTCAGATATCTATAAGACAAGGAGACCGTTCCGTATAACTCAGATCTCCAGAGATTCTAGACTTTGAGCTACAGTCAGTTATCCATTTTATTACTGGGGAAGGGGTTGGGGGAGGGAGGGACCTGGTGGTCTACTGTAGGTTCAACACTATGATGGACAATAAAAACAAATAATTATGGCAAAAATGTATTATTTACTATACACTAGGCACTATATGCTGAGCCATTTACTTGCATTCCCACTTAGTCATCATGAAAGTTATTTTTTTAATTGATTTTTTTGAGACAGAGTCTTGCTCTGTCACCCAGGCTGGAGTGCAGTGGCGTGATCTCGGCTCACTGCAACCTCCACCTCTGGGGTTCAAGTGATTCTCCTGCCTCAACCTCCCAAGTAGAGTAGCTGGGACTACAGGTGCATGCCACCATGCCCAGCTAATTTTTGTATTTTTAGTAGAGATGGGGTTTCACCATGTTGGTCAGGCTGTTCTTGAACTCCTGACCTCAAGTGATCAGCCTGCCTCAGCCTCCCAAAGTGCTGGGATTACAGGAGTGAGCCACTGTGCCCAGCCCACAAAACTTATACTATAATTAGTTTTCTTCTATTGTTGAGGAAACTGAGGTACACAGCAGTTAAGTCCCACTGCTAATGGTGGCAGAGCCAAGGTTAAACCCATGTCTCCATGTCCTTCTGACTCCAGGGTCCATGCTGTGCAATACTGCTCTAGCTGGTTCAAGGCCATAGTTCAACCTCTTGGGGAAAGTTTTACTTTTGTGTGTGTGTGTGTGCGTGCACGCTATACAGAACTGCACGCTGCTTTATATAAGTTGGTGCAGAATAATTCCTGCAGTTTATGATAATTGGGGGTCTTGTCTAGCCAGCTGCTGTAGGGATTGCAGTGGTCACCCAGTGACCCATGCGAAAATCAGTTCCTGACACAACTACCCTGCAGTTCAAGCATGATCATAAATACAGCATGGAGGGCCTTCTGGCTTTCATTGTTACTGATGAGAAGTCAGCTGTTAATGTTACTGGGATTCTCTTATACATGATGGCTTGATTTTTTCTTCTGCCTTCAACATTTTTTCCTTGTTTTTGGTATAAGCATTTTTACCATGATGTATCTTTTGTAGATCTCCTTGCCTTTATCTTACTTGGATTTCACTGAGCTTCGTGGATGTATAGATTAATGTTTTTCAATAAATTTGGCAAGTTTCAGCCATTATTTGAATTTTTTTATGCTCATCTCTCTCTCTTCTCCTTCTAGTACTCCCTGTACACATATGTTTGTGCACTTAATGGTGTTCCACAATGCTCTGAGGCTCTGTCATTTTTCTTCATTCTTTTTTCCTCTCTGCTCTTTGGTTTGCATAATCTCTATTTTTCTATCATCAAGTTCACTGATTCTTCTACCAGGTCAAATTTACTGTTGTGCCCACTGAGTGAGTTTTTCATTTCAGTTATTGTACTTTTTGGCCTCATGATTTTTATTTGGTTCTTCCTTTTATAATTTCTATCTTTCTGTTGGAGGCCTCTATCAATATATTATCAATAATATATTCCATGTGACTGTACTATGTAGTATAGTATAATATAGGATAGCTATATTTCATATAACTATAGTGTAGTTCCATGTACCTATACTGTAGTGTACAGTATAGTGTAGTGTAGTACTCAGCATAGTCTATTTCCTCCTGCAGTATGAAGCCAATTTCTCCAGAACAATGAGAAATACATTTCTTTTGTTTATAAGTTACCCAGCTTATGGAATTTTGTTATAGCAGGAGGAATGGACTATTATCAATAATATATTGATAGAGACTACCAATAATATAGGCTATTCATAATATAGACTATCTCTTAATACACTGTCATCTTCCATTCCTTTATTTCTTTAAGCATGGTTTCCTTAAGTTCTTTAAATAATTTATAATGGCTGCTTTGAAATCTTTGTTAAATTCTACATTTGGGCCCTCTCTCAGGCAGTTTCTATGGCTTGATTTTTTCCCCTCTGTATGGGTCACATTTTCCTGCTTCTTCGTGCATCTCATAATTTTTTGTTGAAAACTGGTCATTTTAGAGAATATATTATAGTATCTTTTGATATGCATCCCCCCAACTGGGTTGTTGGGTTACTTTCTTATTTGTTTAGTGACTTGTCTGAACTATTTTAGTGTAGTCTACTTCCTCTTGAAGTATGAAGGCACTGATGTTGCTCCTCAGAGGCCATAGCCTTGGCATGTGTACAGTCACTCTGGGGTGACAGCGTATCAGCAGGGATTTCTGACTCTTTCCCTAATCTCCTGTTAAGCAGTCTGCCTCTGTTGCTATTACACCCAGCTGTTAGGCTCTACTAATTGTCAGGTGTTTGCTCTATTGATTTTGACAATGCATAAATTACACCACAGTCTGATCCAATTAAATTCAGCCCCTTTATAGGACAGTTGTGGAGGCTCATCTTTGAGATTTATTCTAACCCTAGCAGGGCTCTTTTTATTTAAAACAATTTCTTAAAAAAAATTTTTTTTTTTCCTTTTTTTGCGACAGGGTCTCACTCTGTCACTCAGGCTGGAGTGCAGTGGCACGATCACAGCTCACTGCAACCTCTGCCTCTTGGGTTCAAGTGATTCTTGTGCTTCAGCCTCCCGAGTAGCTGGGATTACAGGTGCCCGCCACCATGCCTGACTACTTTTTGTATTTTTAGTAGAGACAGGGTTTTGCCATGTTGGCTAGGCTGGTCTTTAACTCCTGGCCTCAAGTGATCCACCTGCCTCAGCCTCCCAAAGTGTTGGGATGACAGGGGTGAGCCATCACACCCAGCTGAGGGCATTTTTAGCTGTCTCTTTCTGTGGTTCTCTCTGATAAACTAGCCTGTGGTTTAGTTTATTGTTCTCATAACCACCAAATCTCCATTGTTTTTGAGAGCACCCTTTGGTTTACACTTTCCCACACTGTTCCAACTAAAGTCAGTTCTTTTGAGGAAGAGCTTTGGAGTGCTCTGTTCTTATGGCCTGCCCTTCCCCACTGGGCAAAATCTCTGAGTCACTGCTCTGGATCCAGGGGTGGCAACAATGGCCTGTGCTGTTGTTTGAATGTTCGTCCCCTCCAACACTCATGTTGAAATTTAATTGCAATTGTAACAGTATGAAAAGATAGGACTTTGAGAGGTGATTTAGGCCATGAGGGCTTTGCCTTCATGGGTGGGATTAATGCCGTTAAAAAAGGGCAAATTCAACCCCCTTTTGCCTCTTTGCCCTTCTGTTTTCTTCCATGTGATGATGCAGCAAGAAGGCCCTTGCTAGAGGTCAACAGCTTGATCTTGGATTTTTCCAGCCTCTAGACCAGGAGCTAATAATTTCTGTTCATTATAAATTACCCAGTCTCTGGTATTCTGTTATAGCAGCGCAAAACAAATTAAGAGCCTGTTTCTCTTGGAGTGACATTCCTGTTATGAGCAGGGTGCTGGGTGGGGGCAGTAACCTCCGGTCTACTCTGCTTGTCTCTCCCAGCATGCAACCTCTGCCCTACAAGTGAGCTGGGATGAGGGCAATCAGGGCCCCAGTATTCTTGGCTTACCCTACCTGGGGCAAAGCCTTTGCTGTATCATCTGGGTAGAGGAAGGGCGCTTCCTCCCTCTTGGCTGCAATCACCTGGAATTTAGCCTCTGCAGCATGGAGCTGGGTATGACAAAAAATACTGGCAGCCTGCCCTTCCGGGGAAGATACTGTAGCCCTTCACTGGCAGCTGGGGAAAGAAGGAGCCCTGTTTTCTTGTCCAGATGTGCCTGGAGTGAAGATTCTTTCAAACTGAGTTGGGGAATAAAGGGGTAGGTTGTGCCTCAAATGCCACAAACTCTCACTGTTCTTACTAAGATTTAGCAAATTTTCTAGAATAAATGTTTCTTCATTTGCCCTCAGGAAAATTTCCAGACTTTAAATAATTGTTTGTTTTAATAAATTTTACCAGCTACAGCTGTTTTGCTAGGGAGTGGGTCCATGCAGCTTCTCATACCACCATTTTTCTCAGCAATCTACTTGGCCTCCATGATTCTTGCTTCCTAATATTCATGCCCTTTTACAGTCCCCTCCCACACTAAACAGTGCTGGCCTGTGTAACCATTAGGATATTGCAGAATGACAGAGTGTAACTTCTAACCATAGGTCATAAAAGACCTTGCAGCATCAGCCTTGCTGTTCCTTCTTGGGTTGCTTGCTCTGGGGGAAGCCAGCTGTCACATCACAAGGACAAGCAACTCTATGAAGAGATCCCCATGGCAAAGAACTGAGGCCTCCTTCCAACACCCAGCACAAACTTGCCAGGCATGCAGTGAGTCATCTTAGAAGTGGATCCTTCAGCCTGTCAAGACTTTGGATGACTTCAGATGACCAGCCAACATCTTGAGATCTCATGAGAGACCCCAAGCCAGAACTACCTATCCAAACCATTTAGGATTCCTGATCCACAGAAACCATGTGACATGACACATGTTCCTGCTTATTGTTTAGAGGAGCTAAATTTTGGGTAATTTCTTATGTAGCAATAGGCAATTAATACATGATCGTGGGCAAAATCCTTTGGCTATAGACTAGATGTTTACATACCCCAAAATTCATACGTTGAAACCTAATCGCCTATGTGATGGCACTTGGAGGTGGGGCCTTTGGTAGGTGATTAGGTCACCAGGGTGGAGCCCTCATGGGTGGGATTAGTGCCCTTGGGAAAGAGACCCCAGGGAGCAAAAAGATGGTCATCACCAGGAAACAGGCCCTCACCAGACACCAAATTGGCTGCCACCTTGATCTCAGACTTCCCAGCCTCCAGAACAATGAGAAATAAATTTCTGTTATTTATAAGTTACCTAGCTTATGGGATTTTGTTATAGCAAGAGAAATGGATTAAGATATCTTCTCTTTTATTTTCTTCAGTTTCTTCATCTAAAAAACAACCTTGTTGGAATTCATTAGCAGTCTTCCACCGTGGTTTCCCACTGCCCTTCAAGGAACCTTATGACCCCGCGGTGATGGCTAACAGGAGAAGTGGAGTCCAAGTGGGCCTTAACCAGAGTAGCTCCACTTTTATTTTATTTTATAAACTTGGCTTTCATATGAGATTTGATCTGAAGAAAGGGTCTACTTTTTTGTGTATGTTTGTTAGTTTTTTGTTGTTGTCATTGACATTCGGTGATTTCTTTAATCTTACATGCATTTTTCAGTTTAGATTTCCATTTTAAAATGGGCATTTCACAAGGCCCTGCATTTCCAGTATCTCTGAGAGTAGAGTGCAAAGTTACACAACAACCTTCTGATTGTTCAGAGAGGAAACTCAGGCCCAGAGAGGGGAAAGGACTTTTCCCAGAGGTACACAGTAATTCAGTAGTCAAGGGAGGAATGAGGAATGGAATACAGATTTCCTGACCCTCAGAAGGGATGATCTATACAAATGAAATGGAGCCATAATATAGAAAAGTATTTTTAAAAATAGGTATTAAAATATAAAAGTAAGTTTACAAAAAGCACAGAACAGAACTTGACTGTTGAGATGCAGGGGGAATAAATGTAAAGGAACAAAGAAAAAACTTCTGGAACATGCTGTCCCACAGGAAGCTGGCTTCTTCATAAAGAGAAATCACACAGGAGCACAGATTACTGTTGGAAGTAAAACAGAATTTACAACAGAGTTGCCTGGCATACTTAGTTATCCACATTACTGTGCAGTGTGGCAGTCAGGCAATTCACTGAGCTCCTGTGGGGTGCTAGGCAGAGCTAGGGCAGGACACCAAGGTGAGCTGTGGCTTTCACAGCAGCTGGCTCCAGGGTATTCGGATGGGTTCAGTTCTCCACTTACTACCCCAGATCAGAAATCACAAATTGTTAGCCTCTGAAACAGATACAGCTTGTCAACAGTCTCTCTCTCTCTCTCTCTCTATTTGGCCTCATTCAGTGCTAAATTAAAAAAAAAATAGTTGCTGATATTAAAAAATAAGCAGATTTCACCTAAAGTCTAGATTTCTGGTCTCTTTTAAGTAATTAGCAAATCTGGTGTTAGGGGCCTGGTATTGCTTCATGGGGATCGTCTGCTGGAGCTGAGCAGCAGCCTCCCCTATAGTTGGGACCTGAGGAGACTGGGTATCAGTTTCCTATAGTACCTCCCCACCCCCCAACTCCCTGTCATTTTTCCTCTGAGGCCACATGCTAGCTGCCCTTTTTCATTGTGCTTGCTCTGTGATTTTTCTTAGGGTACAGTATTTTCTTGCAACTCACTTTGCTCATTTATTTACCCACCAGAGGAACTGATTTTGAGATCCCTCCTATAGACTGCTTCCTTCCCTTCCTCCCTAGTCAGCAGGGGAGGCCCACACACAACTCACTGGAGGCATGGCGTTTGACTTTGACCTGCGGATCCACCCGATGGGACTTCTCACTGCAGGAGGAGGCGTGACGCTTCACCTGGGCCCCTGTGGGGCGCTCGGGCTCCTCGTCCTGGTGGGAGATGGAGGAAGACAGTCAAGTTCAGGCAGGCGCAGACTCATCAATGCAGGCTGTACTACCGTCTTTGCTCAGTATGGGGTCTTCTTGCTCTGAGATTTTGGTCTTACATTTTTAGACTTGCATAGCACTCAAAAATCATAAAGCACTTTTGCTAGCAGTGTATCATTTGAACCTCATACTTTTCTGCTGGGGGCAGCAGAAGGCAACCCTAAACTGTAGTACCTGCTGAGACGAAAATTAGAAAATCTGAAAAGACTGTGGGTGGCTGTATTTGATTTATCATAGATATTTTTGTCTTTAGAACATTTGGAAGTATCCTGATTTTCTGAATTGCCTCAAAAAGAAAAGAGTCTTCCCTCAAGAAGAAAAGTCCTGGATGAGATGAGCCAGTGATAGAAGTGACATAATTTAATAGATTAACTATACATTTGTGCATGAAGAATATTAAGAATACTAAAAATCCAGTGAAAGCTTAGGAAACCATGAGTTAAATATCATAATAATGTAATACAATAATGATGTTGTCAACAACAGTACTATTTACTCCTCTGTATAAGAACTTCCAATGTCTAGGCACTGTGCTAATTTCTTCTTTTGAGTGCAGTGGTGTGATCATGGCTCACTGCAGCCTCAACCTCCTGGACTCAAGCGATCCTCCCACCTCAGCCTCCTGAGTAGCTGGGACAACAGGTGCGCACCACCATGCCCGGCTAATTTTTGTAGTGACAGGGTTTTGCCATGTTGGCCAGGCTGGTCTCAAACTCCTGGGCTTAAGTGATCCACCACCTCAGCTTCCCTAAGTGCTAGGATTACAGGTGTGAGCCACCACTGTGCCCAGCCTACACTTTTTTTTTTTTTTTTTGAGACAGAGTCTCGCTCTGTTGCCCAGGCT